AAAATATTTACACTTTAAATATACTTAAAAACGAACAAAAATGCTTTCTGTGCTCTTAAATTTTATTTACAGAGCAGGTGGTTCCTCACGTTTCCACTATTTGCTGTCTCGGTCCGTTCTCATCCTTAAGGAGTTCTTCTTAGAGAAAGAGGTTGCCAGGTTTCGTCCATACGATGTTGAGTTCCTTTTACATCAGTTGATCCAGAGTTCTTCAGCAGAACAGGTGCTGGGCCTGACCTTGACCTCCATTATACTCAGATAGATATGCAGATTTTGCATACGCAAAAGATGAATGCATAAAGCTACCAAAGTAAACTGTCCTTGTTCAATGTCACTACTCTTGGCTGGAGTATAACAGAATATAAGAGCCAGGAATAACTTATGGTGGGCACGGCAGGGAGGATGTGTTGTGCTGTTCGATGGCAGCATGGAGTGATCGTCTGTAGCACTTTTATGAGATGCTGCTAGTCTGGAAATTCAAGGACAGCAGCATATGGTGATGAGAAGTATACTAATAAGAAGCCTAACGATATCTTCCTTAGTAGTCAAATGAGAGCGTGCATGAAATTAGCATTTTATTTAAATGTTCTTTATTTGTTGGAAGATTTTGGGAGGCGGAATTGGTAATTTTGAATGATGCATGACAGAAATGTGATTCATTGTTGAGGTGACTCATCCTTCATAATGTTTTTTTTTTTTTTGTCTAAAGGAGTCAGATCAGCCCGGGACGTCATTTGCCACACAAATTCGAAACCTTCTGAAAGAGACTCTGAGCGTTCTCCAGGATGAGGGACAAATATTCCGGAAAATACGGACACAGGATGAAGTCTACAATGTATGTGCAATGGTTACACACACTTTTAAAAATAAAGGTGCTTCATGATGCCATAGAAGAACCTTTTTGTCTAAATGGTTCCATAAAGAACCTTTACCATCTGAAGAACCTTTCTGTTTCACAAAAGGTTCTTTGTGGTGAAAAAAGGTTCTTCAGATTACAAAAAGGTAAGAAAGAGATGGTTCTTTAAAGAACCTTTGACTGAATGGTTCTTTGTGGAACCAAAAATGGTTCTTCAATGGCATCGCTGTGAAGAAAACCTTTTGAAGCACCTTTATTTTTAAGAGTGCACACCTCTTAGCAAGTACAAACAGTGTTAATGTTACCTCAGGAGACTCTGAACAAAATAAAAGGGATAATGTCTAATATTTGCTTCCTACACATGCTTTCTACACATTTCAGGATTGTACCACTGGGATTTTAAAATAATATTTAATGTGGTTTAATCACAACATAAATGTTATATAACATATAATGTCTAAAACTAGTAAGTAGTGTAAAATATAATTATATTTTAATTAACTTGGCTGTTTTAGGTAACAGAGCAAGACAAAGATCTTCACACAGCGATCAAGGATGTTTTACGAGAGGATACCAAACGGGAAAAATGTGAGTTTTTTTGTTTTTTTTGCATACTAGTTGCACATCATGTTATTAATATTATTACACTTGAATAATATTTGTTTCTGATTGTTCAGACACTGCATTCTCAGGCCAGATTATTTTATATAATAAACTGTATAACTGATGTTGTTTTCATTTCAAATAATAGGTTCAATTTGAAGCAGTATTAATTTTTGTAAATCTTGATTTATTGTATTTTATTTTATAATTAGTATAATGAGTGAGATAATGTACAGGTAGGCAACATTATTTCAAAACATACCCATACATGAGTAGAGGACCTTCCTCATATGCGGTTTGTTTTGGCAGATGCTGAGAAAGGATGCCATGTCCTGCATATTTTGTCCAGCGTGAGTACAGCCAAAATCTGAGTAGAGAGATGCTGGAGGTTGCCCTGACATTTTTAGAATGCAATAGTGACATAATAAGCACAACAGAAGCACACTACACTGTTTTGTAGCATCATTTTTTAAATTCCATAAAATATAATCAAAGTGTTAAAAAACAATCATGAAGACATAATATTAACAAGTTACAGAATCCTGTTTTATTTAAATCATTAAAGTCAATTTCATACATAATTTATGGTTTTTATTGATTTATTTTTTACTATTTTTCCCCCAATGGTTCAGCATAAGAAGAGCATACAGACATATAGTATTTACTTAAGTATTATTCTTAATGCCAGATTATCGCTTTAATAGATTAAACAAACTTTTAATTATTGAGTAATTTGTACTGTTTAACCCAAATGTAATAGCCCTGTTAAAAAGATTTTATAATAATAATAAGAGCTTGATGCAACCAGTTCCCTTTCACTTCCATTATACGGTAAAGAGTGTCCTGAGCCCATATTCTTAAAGCTTCTAAGAATCCTCTCAGAAAGCTCCTAATTTAGCTTAAACATTTATTCGTAGGAGTCTTAACTTAAGAGCGATTCGGGACCAATCTGAGAGCAACTCTGAGTGAGGAAAAGACCTTTTTTTTTTTTAATGAGGCGGCAGGGTATGACACAGCCTTTTGAAGACTGTGATTGGTTGGTTGTCCATAAAGGAAATAAAAGAGCGCTTTTAAGTGTAGGGTCTATTATAAGCCGTCACTTTGAAATTATAGGCATAATGTTTCCTGTTTTATTGTACACACACACACACACGTTATATATATATATATATTCTTAATTTTTTTATTTACCATGCTGTTAGTGTCGTAGGCTACTTAACGTATTTGATAGGAAATGAACAGCGACACACTAAGGTAATTGTTTGTGTGATCACTTTGCTTATAGAAGGTTGTGACAGACCCAAATCATCACTGTTGCATAGTTGCATTTTTTCCAGTTGCCAAATATGTTAATGTAGTTAATTTCTGTGTCGGAGATGTTAGCGTGTCTCTAATAAGATGATCTTATGTGTAGCGTCTTATTAACTCACTGTCATGCATTATGTGCAACATATTTCTTCCCCCTCTTCATGTTTTGTCACATTTCTACACTGCTAAAGAAACTCTAAAGCCTCTTAAAAGTCCTCATCTGTACTCCTAACAATTTTTGACCTTAAGACCTCTTTTAAGGGTTAAGATGCTTTCTGAATTACTTTTTTCTTTACTAGGAACTTTTCTTTAATTTTAAGAGGAAGCACCCACATTTCTAAGAATTTTCTTAGAATTTTGTTACTAGGAGCAACTCTTTGCACAAAGATTTTTCATGATTACGGGCCCTTGGGTTTTATAGTGGGTGAGCTAAATGGGTCGTTTGAAACTGTAGTTACACTCAGCTGCCTAAGGGGGTCACTGTGAGCTGTCCATGAGCACATCTATCTGTGCGCGTTCAGGTCCCTGTATGCTCAGTGGAAATATGAGTAACAGAAATCACGTCTCACACTGTCTGTGATATTCTTAGATTATAGAATAGATGCGCAGCAGACTTTTATGAATTTGTTTGCATGCGTATATAGACTATGCAAATTATATTAATGGATCGTTTTTCAAATGACAGTTCATATCTGGTGTGTGACATGGTTTTATTACAATCAAGATACGCTACTGCATTCTTTTCTCACACAATTGGCCTTTACACAAGCTGAACCAAACAAACAATGCCTGGTCTGTAAAATCCTGCCATTGTCTCTTTTACGAAAGAGGACAATGGTATCAACACAACACTCGTATTATTATTTTTTTCTCTCTGTAGAGGCTCTTAAACTGCAACAGAGCCCTTGTCAAGAAGCCCAGCCCCATTGCCCAAATATCCAAGCGTGTGCGCGCGCTTCCTGCGAATGGACTTTATGACGTGCGCCGCTCACGTTTGAGGAGAACCCCCAGACTTCAGCTTCACTACTGTAGTCCACACAAAGGACGCGCTCGTGCCTTTATGACGCGTCGATCCGGATTCCAGAATGACGCTGTAGAACGCGTCTCGATTCGAATTCAGCTGGGACGCGGCGGTTCGAGAATCCGCTCTGCGTTGTGAGAGAAATGGATACGGGAATGTGCGTTTCCTGCAGACGGATATAAGTTTGCATGATTTATTACTCGATCTTCATTTCTACATTACGTCAGGGGGGAAATAAACGGACTGATTAAACGGACGGACGGGCCGGGGGCAACAATCGTTTGCTTTCATTGAGAAGAGGAACATCGATATTATTCGTGCAAACGTCTTCGTGACTGTCCATTTAATTCTGTAGCTGTCTGGTTACTAGCCGTGCTCCCGAAGCCTCTGTTTTCACAATGCAGTTTAGGACAGTTTTGGATGTAAAAGTGGTGGATGTGGAGAAGAGGAGGAATCCATCCAAACATTACGTGAGTTGGCTACCTATTCACCTTGCGTCCTTCTCGAACCTGATGCTGAGATACAGAAAGACGCATCTGGATTATGATAAAGAACATTTCTGCAACGTTATGACCAAATAGGTTTTGAGCTGGTTCTGCGTTTTCCTATAAAAGTCTGTTTTTTTTTTTTTTATCATGCCGAGATGAGCCAGAGAGTTACTGAGTAAAAATAGGGGGTCATACGATGGAAAATTGTATGCTTCCAGACAGGAAGTGAGCACTGAAACCCTCCTCCAAAGGTGGACAGAATTGCTTCTATTATGTTTTTGTGGGAATCGTGTGTGTGTGACATGCTTTCTCACACACTCACTTCATTAGCGAGCACTGGTTCCCAACAGAGCCCCACATGTCCGAAATGTGTTTGTGTGTGTGTGTGTGAACGTTAAACAAAGCTGCTTTGAGGCTCTCCCTAGACAATCTGCTGTCTTGTCAGCTTTTGTATATGACACATTTCCTTAGCTGTTTCCATCTGTTAAATCCTTGTCATAGGCCACTACAAGACGTTCATGCCACAACATGCCATGAATCATGATTTGTTTGCCCTGCGGAATGGCTATTGAAACACTTTTATTTCTAACACTTTAGTTCACCCCGAAATGAAAGTTCTCTCATCATTTACTCATCCACCTTTTGTTCCAGATGTTTTAGACTTTCTTGTTTTCAGTGGAGCACAAAAGGAGAAAGTTTGAAGAATGTTCATGCTGCTATTTTCCATATGTGGAAATATCCACAGAAGCAAATGGTGATTAATCTGATTTAAAAGGACCATAAAAGTTGTCCACAAGATGTGTGCACTTTATTCCAAGTCTTTTTAAAGTCCGTACAATAGCTTGGGCTTACAAACTGACTTTAATATTGTAGGTTTAATTAATATGTGCATTAATGACGGATGATGTAGGACATTGGCGTTGCGCATGCGCCGCTCAGAAGTGACAAACGCAGAAGCGCAGGGGAGAGTTCAAAACAAAACAACGGTCACGAATTAGAAGTACAAACCGAGGATTTGTAAAGAAGA